GGGAACACCACACGTGACTGGGAGAAGGAGGGAGTCGCTGTCAGATATGGACACATATTGCGAGCGATCCAATACATATGATCGAAACCAGGTTAGCGAACAATCACCAATACCTGAGTTTTTGAGTATGTGCAGTAGAATGTCGTGGTCTACTGTGTCAAAGGCCTTGGCAATATCAAGGAAAATAGCTCCAGTTAGATATCATTGTCATTATACATTTTACTGTTTTAAAACACTCATGTCTGTGTTCAGTAATGTTTCACGAGTACAAGAGTACCCCTTATAAATGAAACATATGTTTCTCCTGAATTTTTTTTTATATATAATAAGTGTGGGTACACTTAATATAAAAGAGGTAAATTATTGTTGAACAGACATACAGTATATACAGTAGCTCAAATTCTATGTTTTGTCTTGGTCAGTACAATAGCCTCTGTCCTGAAGGGGTTAAAGGATTTGGCATTTTTCTTTGTGGACTTTATTGTGTGTGGGCATTTTCAGTGTGGGCAAATTTTTGTGTGGACATTTATGATAGTGTTTTTTTTTGTGTGTGCAATTTTCATGTGGGCTTTTTTCATAGAACCGTTGTAATCGCTTATATTTAGTTTCGCCATGTTTTGCATATTTGCATTTCTGTTGTTGCACAAGTCACTTTACATTTTTTTAAAATCAGTTTATAAATTACCTTAAATGTAATTGTTTATATACTTTCAATTTTTAATATGATTTCAGTATTCACTGTCACTTTAAACCATAGCTCTTGATACTGAGATTGTATTTTTTATATTCTCCTGTAGGCATCATTATTGTTTCCTTTGGGAGGCAGCTTCAGCACTGAATAGTTGAGGTTTTCTTTTTCTTTTGGACCTTGGTTTGTCGCACAACTTAGCACGCTGTGTCTTTACCTATGATGCTGGATTGTTCTTTCATTATGTTTTGTTATCACTGCATTGCAATATTTATTTTTGTAATGATTTGGAGATGAGAGCAGTGTTATTACGTATAACATCACTTCTGTTTCCAGTCCTGGAATGTGCCAGCTGCTTCCAATTGAATCAAAAGGATCAGATCTGGTCTTAGGGGTATTGTACATTTTAAGATTTTATTTAATTTTATTCCAACATCCTGCCATAGTTCTTTAATATTCAGGCACGCCCACCAAATATGGATAAAATATGCCACCTTTGCCCCGCATCTCCAGCAATCCAGGGATTGAGTAGGGAAGATTGTATTAATCTTTTTGGGGACTAGATGCAATCTATTTAAAATCTTAAAGTGTACCTCATTTATATTTAGAAAATGAAATTTGTATTTAAAGTTTGTATTGAGTTACACCATTCTTTATGCAAAATTTGTATACCCAAATCTCTGCTCCATTTTGGTAATGCTGACAGATTACATCTATTTTCCATTTTATATAATAAAAAGTTGGATTTTGAAATTAGGTTTTTAGTATCCTTAGTGTTAATGATGTGTTTGAAATATTTTAAATTTTCATGTTTGTTAGGAAATCTGAGATTTTTCATTATATATGATCTGACTTTAGATAATCGAAAAAACCTTTATTTGTGAGCCCTGATGTTAATTTTAAGTCTAAAAAGGTTCTGATTTTTTCTAATTTGATTAGATATGCACCCATTTTAATACCCTTGTCTGACCATGAGAATAAATTGATGTCTGGAAGTAAGTCACAACTACTTTCTATCTTTACGCAAATGCTCTATCCAAAACAAATCTAAGCCAACGGATTTCAGTTTTTATAGTAACCTTCTGTGTGGAACTGTATAACATACCTTTGCAAAATCCAAGTAGATCATATCTACTGGAAAACTCATCTATATTTGTACGTCTTCATAGAACACAATTTATTTAATTTGGAATAACCTGTGTTTCATAAAATCATGTTGATTCCTCCTAAATATATTTTTATTAAAAATAAATTCTTAAATATTATCCATAAGCAGCTCATCAAATAATTTTCCATCCACAGATGTTAAACTCGCTGTAGTTTTCAGATTGTGCTCCTGAACACTTATAAATATATAGGCATCATGTTTGATTTTCTCCAATCCTCTGGTATGGGTATGATTTTTGAAAGAAAATAATCCTGAAAGATTAAAAATAATGGTATGGGTTTTTCTACTCTAAGCTCCCTTAGAAATCATGGGTGAATACCATCTTGCCCTGAGGCTTTGTTTATAATAACTTTATATAGTTGCTTTAACACTTTATCCTGTGTTAACCTTACAGCTAACCTACTTGCTGTAAGGCTTTTATAACAAGGATTTTCAAACATACAGCCATATATTCTTCTTTGCTATTTAATGAAGACAAAAACACCCATCTCAGATTCCAATGTACCAACAATTTCAGTATTGACCATTATCGAACTAATATTAAAAAAACAAAACACTTTTTGGGGTGGAGGTATGGGTGTGGGCTTGCTCTCTGTGGCTGTGAGCCTTTCATTTTCTAGCATTGCCAATCTAATTCCCCATTTGGAAACCATGTTGGCATGCTTATATTTGTTACAGGATGTCATTGACCACCTGAATTAAATGTTTTGAATGCCCTCTTCTTTTTGTTTATTACTCTACCGACCTTTTCACTAAGTTACATTGGTTTTGATTTGCTTCTTTTATATTTGTTTCACAATGATATGTATTGAGAAATTTACTTTTTTTTAAATTTGTTCAAAGACCATCCATTTATCCTCTGTGCATTTGCCAATGAAAAGTTCCTGAAGTCAATTTGTGTAAGGAAGCCGTTATCCTATTGATATTAACCTTTTTAAAATTTAGCATCTTTGTACAGACCATATAAATTATTATTTTTAGCTAATCTTAAATGATAACGTGATACTATTTCCAAAGCGCTCCTTAATGTGGCACTGTTATGCCGAACTTACCTTTCCCCATTCGCTTCCTTTTCTCTCCCTCTCTCAGGATCTGTTCTTCTTTTCTTCATGTCTGTCTTATGGAGGTTTCCTATGCTTGACCAGCTTTGACTTACTTCTCGCGGTCAAAGGCCCCCCTGCTATTTAGGGCCCCCATCAGCCTCTCATGGGTAATAAACGAATGAACAAACGAACACTGACATTCAGTCTTTGTTTGTTTGAAATTTCTATTCATTCATTTGTCTTTCTGATGAATGAATGGTCGAAATTCCTGATCGAATGCCGAACTTGGCATGCACGGGAATTTCAAAGTGCTATCTCGCGTGGGCAGATGACATGTCCCACAGGGACTTCATCTACCCACACAAAGATGGTGGAGCCCAGGACCTAGGTCCAGGCAGAAAATAAACATTAAATATAGGTAATATGGGAGGCTTAGGGGCATTTAGGGGCAACCAGGGGGGCTATTAGATATATTAGTCAGGAGGGGGGTTTAAAAAAAAACAGATGCGGCCATGACAGTGCTGCTTTAATTTGAATGTTTGAAAGTAGGACAACATTACTAATTATTACAAGATCCAAACTAGAATCTATTCTAGTTGGTGTTTCTGCTAACTGTGATTTATTGGCTTCATTTCCAATATGAGAGTTCAACACAACCAAATGATACATTGAAAAAATATATTTTTTTGCATTTCTACTTACTTAAGAAATTTTATTTAATTATGCATGTTTGACAGTTCAACAATACTTGCACATGCTTAGGTGTATTATACTTTGACAATACAAGGTATTACATTCTTTTGTATTTATAATAGATGCTTATCAGTAAAGAAAAATATAGTATCTTAGCTTTTGTAAAGTTTATTTTTAGATAACACTGTTAATTTATAATATTTGGTTGTAAAATGTGAGTTATGTGGATTTATGTTCTGGTTTGTTCACATAACTGACATCAGAAGATAAAGGAATTATATGAACAGCATCCAAATTATTGAGCCATTCTAGACTGTGCCATTACTTATCTGTATTAACTATGATAAGATCATATTGACTAATTCTTTAATTGACCCCTCATGAATCAATGTGACCCACATACATTGCACAGAACTTGTCAGTCAAAGAAATTTCAACAGAGCTTTATTGACCTCATAGAATACATTTCTTGTAGCATACATAGATGTAATCTGTCCTTTGTATTGTACTCTGTATAAAAATGTTAAAAGTCTACTGGTATAATTTTTCCAAATGTCTTCTCTGTACGTTTATAATTCATTCCAATTAGCGATATTTTAATTAAAACATGTGCTGCTAGTGAAAGATAACTGAAATATTCGAAAACACTGGATGTTAGAAATATCTTTAAAAAGGAACATGTTAAAATGTATCTCATCAAACATGGTAGGTACATTATTAATTTGGCTACCCTTACTTCTATGAGTTTTATTGCAGGTTAACACTGTCTGTTCTATTGCTGATGTTTATGTTCATTTTTACAATGATTGTATAGTATACCTGGCTGTTTTATTGTGTGGGAAGGGATGTGTATCACAGTACAAAAAGATAAAGAGTAGCTGCCAGGATATTAAAGTGAATTTCAAATGTAAGGACAAACTAGCCAAAATAAAAACATAGCTGAGTTTGAAAATGTTTCCAAATAGGATACTTTTTTTTTTTTGCAGTGCACGTATATATTACAAGCAGTCATGAGGTGCCCCAAAAGCAGTCCTCAAGAATTTTCCCCGCTAAGCATGCGGGACAAGAGATTGAACGGCACAATTTTATGTTATGTTATATTCAGCTTAAGTTCAGTTGAGAAGAATGGGTTTATGCTATAGTAAGGCTTGGTCAGTGTTTATGCTAGTCTGTAGTTGTTACAGGTTATGCTTGCATACAATGATAGCTTTACAGTCAGGCTACTACATTTTGAGCATGCGTGGCAGTCAAGCTAGATTAGTCACTTTATTGATATTGTCACCCTAATCTGGGGGAGCCGTCATCATGGTGGTCCTGAGACCGCTCCAGCAGGGGGGATCCCACCACTAACCGGCACCTGCTCTGCTCGTTCCATGTAGCAGAGGGCGAGTGCCTACCAGAGCAGGTGTCAGAACACAGTCCAGCCATGCTGCCTTGTAGGTTTCTTGTTGGTTTCTATGGGGCTGCAGCTGCGTTCTGGTGTGTCCATCCCTCTTGGTCCTCTCAGGGCTGTGGACCGCTGTGGTGGGAGACTTGGTGTTGCCTGCGTCTGGTCATCTGTTTTCATGGCCCATTTTGTTGCAGGTTGGACAGGTGGTGAGTAGGAGGTCCGTCCTCGAGCAGGGGAACTACACTTGGTGATCAGCTCGGTCTCTGCTCTCGGCAATGGTCGATTCACGGGGTATTTCCGTCCCACCTGTGCTGCCGCTATCGTCGCTGGTTTGGACGGTTGCTGGGGAGGGTAATAGGTGGCCCGCTTCCCTGCATGGCAGTGTCTGGAGGCAGAAGATGTTGTGTCAACCGCTGGTATGGGGAGGGTGGTGTCTCTGTCTCTTGCGCACATGGCGTCCGCCATTTTGGACGTAGCGGCTGGACTCCACGGTTTCTCGATCAGGGCATTAGTGTGAGGACCGGAATCACCCCCCCGGTCCATAGGGGGGGAAACAGGGCCAGGTCCTCTCGGGTTCGCGCTCTTGGCTGGGTGCTGTATTGCAGGATAGTGGGGCAGCGGCCGTCTGCCCCACTCACCGCCGGAGAAGGCCTCAGTTAAGGCAACAGAGTTTTCTCCTCCAGGGGACTGCAGCTTGATAAGCCAGCTTCTCCCCGGTTCCAGCAGACCTTCTGCTTTGGGAACTGTTGCTATCGGTCAGTTTTTCTGGCGATATACGGTTTTTGGTCGTATTTGGTGCTGTGTAGCAGGAGCTTCTCTTGCCTGCGACCGTCCAGCTCGGCGGTCCGGCCCCGCCCCCCCAAATAGGATACTTTTAACTGTCAATTTACACTTTAGTGAATAACTGCAGTAGTTTTGCATCACAAACATTCTTAATTTGTAGCTGAACACATTCCCTGCAGGTTCCTATATTTATATCAATGCTTAACCTGACCCTTTCATTTCAGTTGTATTCTACTCATGTAGGATGTAATCTAATCACATTTGTTAATTATAATTTGATGTACAGCTGAGGAATATTTTACTGTGCCTGTCTAGGAGAAGAAGGACTCTTCACGACAGTTTGAAGAGTAAATGGTAAAGATAGGAAATGGTTGGAAGACTAACCTATTCATAAACACAAAATAATTGTTGTTATATATATCATATGAAAGCCTGCCATGTGAAACATGATGATTGTAATTTTAATGAAGGATTATGAAGATATTGAATACACATTGAAATCATAGTTTGCTCAGGGTACCTGTAAGCCATGATCATTTATTAGAGGGAATAAAAAATAAAAAAATAAAAATTACTCTTACCTCAATGGCCCAATAGAGGTATAGTTGTAATAGTATATATAGTCTATAGTTAATCTAGGTGGAAAAATATCCCAAAAAAATCACATTAATTCAATCTTTAAATAAATAGTTTATGCTGTTGATCAACAAGAAGGCAAATAAGAAGAAAAATAGCAATCAGATTTTTACTTGGATCAAGAACTTTTACCATGCTTATTATTTAATTGCCATCTTGAATATTTTGTTTCTCAAAAAACAAAAACATCCAGGACATTATTAAAAATATATAAAAAATGTGTGCTGTTTAAAATAAACATTTTATTTGCATTTGCACTACAGCAAGTTACTGACATGTACTAAATGCAAATTTTTACCCCTTAAGGATGGAGGCAATTGTCCATAATCTGAACCAAAACAAAACCTTTTGGTTGAATTAGGTTTAACCATAATTTACCCCTTTGATATCTAATGCACCTACTGCTATTTATATTTGTTAAGACAAAGTGCAATAAGGTCACAAATGTTTCTGGACACCTGTCCCTTTATCAATGCAAAAATGCCCTTAGAAAAAGAAAGGGGGCATGGCTTAGCCATCAAGCAAGATGGCTGCATAAGGAGTGAGCTCAATAGAAATCATAGATACAAAAAGCTCACACTGACCACATAGACACATCATTAGCCATTCATGAAGAAGTGCACAATGCATTATAGGAGAAAGTGAATATACTTGAAAACCAATTATAAATCACTGTTGCAAAAATATCTTAATTACAGCAGCAGAAGAAATTACCTGTGAATTAACAAAATCCATGAATGAGCTAATGGATTTTGCTAAAGGAGTAATTCGATATATTTGACAAAATTTGACCAACTTACAAATCATAAATTGATGTCACAGACTCCCTACGCTTAATTCGGGCTTCACTATTCTGAGAATGCACTTTTTTCACATTAAAGAAAAATTGCTATCTAAAATGAGGCAGGGATTGAAACTACCTGATCAATACAAACATTTAAAAAAATCCGAGACTGATAATGGTGGTGAGACAGTGTCTAGAATAAAGGATAAAACGGCAAAAGGGTAGAACAATGTTCAAATTTCCACAACGTAAGAAGATAGGAATAGTCCAGATATGACGACCTCGCTTTGGTCTAAAGTGCTTATTGTGTTCTCACGTGGCTGTACAGTAATTCCATTAATATGAAAGACAGAGGAGAGAGGCAACCAATAGTGCAATATGTCTGGTCCAGTGGGTAACTAGTATATAATAGATAATATTAAACTCACATTTGCGAGAGCTATGACCAGCTCTGGCATGAAGGGTGTACAGCGGTATGGGATATAGTGGGTTTCTTCCTTCAGGTGATGTATCCAGCACTCCGAAAGGGGAGAAAAAGAAAAAAAGAAACAACTGATAGTGCTTTCTGGGATAAAATATCAACAGGAACTAGTATAAAATAACTCTGCTCCTTTCCTTGGATGCTGAGAAGGCGTTCAAAAGGATACACTGGATATTTGGGAGAAGTTATGAAAATTGTAATATTCCACCAATGTTTATTAAGGCATTATTTGCTTTATACTCTCACCCATCTACAAAAGTCTCAGCTTCTGGTTTCTACTCTAACATTTTTTTTTTATTTAAAAATGGGGCTAAACAAGTTTGCCCATTATCTCCATCATTATTTATTCTGGCAATGGGACCTTTGATTAATTTGATAAGACAAACACCTGAAACTGAAGGTAAATCTATTGGTGATACAACCAAACAACAAAAATAGGTTTGTTTGCAGATGACATATTTTCTATTAAAAACCCAAACAAATCTATTAAATTGCTTGATTCCATTATAAACGAATTTAGTAATGCATCTTATTCTAAAATTGGTTCTCACAAAACACAAGCCTTTTCGTTTTATCATCCATGGTTTGATCTGGAAAAACTTAAGGAAGAACTCTCTCAGATGGAGAGAATCCATTATTAAATACTTTGGTTTAAATGTATGAAGAGATTTAACCAAAATGCATTCAGAAACTTAGTAAAAACTTGGCCTGACTTACAGAAAGAGTTGGAAAGATGATGTGAACTTGAACTCTCATGGTTAGGTAGATCGGCATCTATTAAGATGACAATTCTACCAAAATCTTTTTTTAGAACAATCCCTTGATCTATACCAGTAACTTTCTTCAACAAAATGAATTTAACTATAAAGAACTATATATGGAAGAATAAAACAAATAGGGTAAAACTTGCAACTTTACTGTAATGATCGATTTGAAATAGGTAAGTCTATCATTAATATCTGGATAGTTTAGCCAGTACTGACACCCCTGGGCCTGCTATACAGAGCCTCGTACGGCTCTGGGAAATGTGAGTGGTAGTCCTATGTTCTACTATTGTTTTAATTTTTATGCAGTTCACACTACGTTGTGTTTTATGTTTTACGTATTATCCTGCTGTATTTATGGTGGTATTGTTCCACTTATTTTTTGCACTGGGTTTTGTGTACATACTGGTATATTGTATATATTTGGATTTTTGTATCGGGTGTTACTGAGAAGCACCACAATATCAGCTACACTACCCACTGATTTATTAAGATCACATAAACGTACTATAACTGTGAAGCGCCAACTCACTATTTACTGTTTTTTAATTTGAATATTAACAGACCATATTGGTTAGAAATAGACACAGAAAAAATACAACCCAAGTCCATAATAGAAATACTATAGTTACCCCCCAAATAAATACCCAAAGATTTACTGTAATACCAAAATCACCTTCAAGGTGAGGGATATTTTTAAAACTGTTAGACCATCCTCCAGTTTATCAAGGGCTTTGTCATGTGAGATTATGCATGGGGCAATACAAATATTAAAAATAATATTTTCTTTAAAAAAATTATAGCACTGTATCCCCTTGTTAATTAAAGCTAAAACATTACTCACTATTTAATTTTAGACCCTTACTTTGTTCAAAGCTTCTTGGTAGACTTTTATTAGACAGAGAGGCACCAACCCAGATATATATTTTTACTCAACTCTTACATGAATAACTTCTTGTAGAAATATCTATACTAAGTGTAGACATTTCATGATTATGAGTAATTGCTTATAAAGAAGGATATATGTTGTATGAGAGTGAAACATTATTTTATTTTATTTCATCTGTGTGTGGATTTTAAGTTAAAGTGTGTCTACATTGTTAGAATATAGGTATATATGTTAATTATATAAGTTTAGCATTAATACTTCATGCATAGTGTTTGGATAATGAAAAAACATATTGATAGATACTATCTATTAATTAATATATATACATATACTGATTCATTGAAAGGGTGAGTGCCACTATACTTGTGTATATATATATATATATAAATATAATTCACTTCTAATTATATATTCTCAATGTATTAACCTAAGTCTGGGATAATTAACCCTCTTCTCTAACACTGTTGTTTGTAATCATACCTTTCTCTCAGTCTGTGCCTCCTCGGTCCTGCCATCCATGCAGATGACAGATCTCCTCTCCCATGGTGTCCCAACGTTCACACACAACGAACAGTCAGGGGGCATGCACCTTTTTTTTTTTTTATCTTTGGCACCTTAAAGGGAAAGTTACTAATTTCACTTCTGGGCTAAGCATTCCATTTATAACTGCTTACATATTACCCTAATTGGTTCCCTAGCCTTTCAGCTCATACATTTTATACCTCCCTTTGACATCACTTATTTTCCCTGTTGTAGTCTTTTAGCCCGATAGTGCGTTTCTTTAGCCTTGACTTTTCTGGTATCTGACTGTTAGAACAAAATGAAGATCTCTTTAAATAACTGACCACTTCTTTGACATGTCTTTCTGTGTAATTTAGCAATCTCTGGTTTGACCTGCAATCTCTTTCCAGTGCTGGGGAAGCCACCATGAACTGACACAGACACAAATTGTTCAAAGTGACACCTCTAAACATTTTTATTGCATATCCCAAATATATGGTGTTTTTTAACAGGGTGTGCTTCTTTAAAATTCTTTATCCAATCAGATAGTTATACCTCGTCTTAATGTATAGAGAAGGTAGTAAAAAGGAGGGTGATTAGTTTGGACTTTTACTGCTATTACTAGGCAGATTAGCACTTGGGGTTGGTAGGAGGAGGAACGTCCAAACCTGTAAACAACCAACAACCTCTATACATTGAACAAAACTTAGCTTGTTAGTCTAGCATGTTAACATGTTTAAAATCAAAGAGCATAAAGATCATCATTGATTTTGGCTTTGTTTCTTGTTTATCCACTTTTCTGGTATCCTTGTCCCTTGGCTTTGTTTTATGTATCCTTCCGTCTCCAATCCTGACCTTGGTTTTTCTGACTATTCTATTCTTCTCGCCGTACTCATATATATCTTAAGTCCGGCCACTCTAAGGCCTGGTAATACGCCTTTATTTGTGTATTGATAAAGAGCTCATTAGTTTGCGTGTTAGAGTGGTTGACCTTGCCATTACGTCATGGAGGGCAAAAGAAAAAGTGAAGTAAAAAAAAACAGGGGAGAAGGAAAGGGATTGAACTATGAGGGAGGCAGCTAGTCCTATTAGGAAAATACATCTGACCTAAATATGTGGAAAAATATACAGAAAAAAACGGGACTGCGAATTCCTTAAAATAGGGATACCTTCTTTCAATAAATGTGAACAACTGAACTGTGTACCACAACCAACTACAAAAAATATAGAACTTTTTGTACAAAGCTAACAACCAACCAATAAAAAATAATTTATTGATCCATGTATATATAAAAGGCTATTCTTTATAGCAATGTTTGCCATTTCTGTTAATGTCATTTAATAAAAAAAAAAAACATTTAAAATGGTAAAAAATAAACTGCCAAAAAACTGCAATATATACATATATATATATATACACATATATATATATATATATATATATATATATATATATATATATATATATATCTCAATAAGGGGAGCACACCAGGACTTCAGTATAGTGAAAAAAATGTATTTACTGTATCAAAAACATGGTACAAATTCTGTGCAAAGAAAATCAATGTTTCGACCCTGCTGGGGTCTTTATCAAGATCACAGTGAAGTGTAGTTATAGTGAACAATATATACATACAGATGAAATAACGCTTACCAATCAGATAATCGGGACCCCGATCAGCTACAGGACCCGGAAGTGAGGAGACCACGTGAACGGTGCATAGCATGTGACTAGGTTGCTAAGCAACCTAACAGATAGTGGCTATACTGCAAACAAGAGATCGGGTGACCGGCACCGCCGTGATACCCGGAAGTGCTCAAACCACGTGGGGGTTGTCATGTGACAAAAGTGCATGTGACGAGGTTGCTATGCAACCAGTCTAACAGTGTCAGAACTCCCTTCTCTAAACAGAGATCGGAGATATAAAAACAAGCACTACATATGGAGGAAAATAATCAACTAAAGACCCCAATCTACGGATGATCTATCAGTGGAAAAGAAGTGCATAGTGCAAAAAAATATATAAATGTGAAAGTCTGTGAAAAAACAATGCATAAAAACTGCAGGACAGATCAATCCCTGTTGGGGAAGTAATAAAATCCATTATACACATATACTATATATCCAAAAAAATGCATCCACAATTCTTTTTAATATGCTGTTATTTAGCGAATAATAAATAAATAATATATCTATTGTTTATGTACGTGTATTCTAATCTTCTTAAATCCAAGAAAAAGCATTAACCATACTAATCACTCTAACTGAGTGTAGAAGAAGGACACTATGTCCTAAATGTATACTTAACAGCTACAGGGAGTGCAGAATTATTAGGCAAATGAGTATTTTGACCACATCATCCTCTTTATGCATGTTGTCTTACTCCAAGCTGTATAGGCTCGAAAGCCTACTACCAATTAAGCATATTAGGTGATGTGCATCTCTGTAATGAGAAGGGGTGTGGTCTAATGACATCAACACCCTATATCAGGTGTGCATAATTATTAGGCAACTTCCTTTCCTTTGGCAAAATGGGTCAAAAGAAGGACTTGACAGGCTCAGAAAAGTCAAAAATAGTGAGATATCTTGCAGAGGGATGCAGCACTCTTAAAATTGCAAAGCTTCTGAAGCGTGATCATCGAACAATCAAGTGTTTCATTCAAAATAGTCAACAGGGTCGCAAGAAGCGTGTGGAAAAACCAAGGCGCAAAATAACTGCCCATGAACTGAGAAAAGTCAAGCGTGCAGCTGCCACGATGCCACTTGCCACCAGTTTGGCCATATTTCAGAGCTGCAACATCACTGGAGTGCCCAAAAGCACAAGGTGTGCAATACTCAGAGACATGGCCAAGGTAAGAAAGGCTGAAAGACGACCACCACTGAACAAGACACACAAGCTGAAACGTCAAGACTGGGCCAAGAAATATCTCAAGACTGATTTTTCTAAGGTTTTATGGACTGATGAAATGAGAGTGAGTCTTGATGGGCCAGATGGATGGGCCCGTGGCTGGATTGGTAAAGGGCAGAGAGCTCCAGTCCGACTCAGGCGCCAGCAAGGTGGAGGTGGAGTACTGGTTTGGGCTGGTATCATCAAAGATGAGCTTGTGGGGCCTTTTAGGGTTGAGGATGGAGTCAAGCTCAACTCCCAGTCCTACTGCCAGTTCCTGGAAGACACCTTCTTCAAGCAGTGGTACAGGAAGAAGTCTGCATCCTTCAAGAAAAACATGATTTTCATGCAGGACAATGCTCCATCACACGCGTCAAAGTACTCCACAGCGTGGCTGGCAAGAAAGGGTATAAAAGAAGAAAATCTAATGACATGGCCTCCTTGTTCACCTGATCTGAACCCCATTGAGAACCTGTGGTCCATCATCAAATGTGAGATTTACAAGGAGGAAAACAGTACACCTCTCTGAACAGTGTCTGGGAGGCTGTGGTTGCTGCTGCACGCAATGTTGATGGTGAACAGATCAAAACACTGACAGAATCCATGGATGGCAGGCTTTTGAGTGTCCTTGCAAAGAAAGGTGGCTATATTGGTCACTGATTTGTTTTTGTTTTGTTTTTGAATGTCAGAAATGTATATTTGTGAATGTTGAGATGTTATATTGGTTTCACTGGTAATAATAAATAATTGAAATGGGTATATATTTGTTTTTTGTTAAGTTGCCTAATAATTATGCACAGTAATAGTCACCTGCACACACAGATATCCCCCTAACATAGCTATAACTAAAAACAAACTAAAAACTACTTCCAAATATATTCAGCTTTGATATTAATGAGTTTTTTGGGTTCATTGAGAACATGGTTGTTGTTCAATAATAAAATTAATCCTCAAAAATACAACTTGCCTAATAATTCTGCACTCCCTGTATACTCCACACCTATCTCTGTATTTATCATAACATACAGCAATGACCACATACTACCTAAGCTTACTCTCAATGGTCAATCTTTGATCCAAAAAATGCAAAAAAATACAAAAAAATATATATACAAAAAAATAAAAAAATGTTGTTACAACAGTATCACTACTATATCTACTTGATATAGATTCTAATGAAAAAAATTCATATTATGCTGTTATCCTAAATTCTATGTGGACACTTAGAAGAGAATCAATGTAGAATATATATTAAAGAAACATCGAAAGAACTAGATGTTCATTAAGTCCTTTCGGGGTCACGGTATTTAAGTGATGAATCCAGTAGGCTTCACGTTGGAGTAGTAGCTTGGATCTATCACCTCCTCTTGGTGGTGCCGGAACATGGTCAATAGCTATGAACCTGAGAGTAGGCAGATGATGTTGTGCTGATAAAAAATGCTTAGCCACCGGTTTATCTGTTTTTTGGTCTCTGAAGGCTGTAGTGATTCCCGAGCGACGTCCCCTAATCCGATCTCTTAAGGTCATGTCGGTCTTCCCAACATAGGCCAGGCCGCATGGACAAGTAATCATGTATACCACATGTGTGGTCATACATGAAATATAATGATTGATAGGGATGCGCTTCCCACTATGTGGATGGACAAAAGTGGTTCCAGTAAGCATATGGCTGCACGTAACACAGCCGCTACATTTGTAGCAGCCCTTTTTTTTGGATTTTAGGTATCCTGGCATAGCATAATCGAGGATCGTTCTTTACCAATAAGTCTCTCAGGTTCCGATTCCTTCTATAGCTGATAATGGGATTGATTTTAAATTTATCAGAAAGATTTTGGTCTACCTGGAACATATTCCAATGTTTATGGATACATTTTTTAAGAAAAGGAGTTGCAGTATTGAATGTGATGGGAAGGAAGATATTATTCTTCTTAGTAGGGCTTATATTGTTGCTTTGATTATATTTCTTCCAAGCATTCATCTTAGCTTTTTCCAGAATTCGCGGATGAAAGCCCCTTGCCAGGAAGCGATCCCAAACTTCCTGGAGCTGCTGATCACAATTAGCTGGATTACTGTTATATTTCATAACCCGAAGGAATTGTGAGATAGGTAGTGAGTCCTTGATATGCTGAGGATGGAAGCTAGTAGCATTGTTGTCTGCTACTTTTGGTGAGTAAAGCATGGTAGTGAGAATGTCTTTTCCAGTAGCAACCTTGTTTCAAACGCGTTTCGCCTTCACTAGGCTTTGTCAATGATATACAGTAACAGAATGCAAGTGTCTTTATAAATGTTACTGCTAATCACATGTTGCTCAGTTTAGTTTTAATTGGTTGGAATTTAATTACTAATATGCTTGTGTTATGCAGTTCACCTTTTCACTGTTTTAAATCAATTACCTTCTCTAGTCAGTGTGAATTTGATTTTGTCAGAAAAGAAAAAAAAAAAGGCTTTACATACCATGCGCCCAGAAGTAGCTCTATTCCTGTGTCAGCCATCTGATATATTTTATTTTATTTTTCCTTATTTCTTCTCTCCTACAAGTGTCTATGGGAATTAAAAGGATACATGTTTGGTTTTCCTACTCCTTTTGATCAAATTTCATACTTTTGTTTTTGTTGGTTATTATTCAATTTATCTCTGTCAAATTTGGTTCTGATTCATTTTCTTGCTTCTTTTACTTTCCCCTTGTCCCTTCACCTCTCCCCTTCCCTTTTCCTTTGTTTTTATACTTTAATTCAAAAATTATATTCCAGTAGTATATCATATATTCATGTCATAACTATCAACACTAGTATGTGCAAATAATTGTTTTTGTAGTGTAGAATAGGGTGGGAGAAAGGAGAGAGAAAGAAAAAAGTTAAAAAAAAAAAATCCATTCAAGATTATAGACAGATCTCGTTTTTCACTACAGCGTACTTAATGGTCCAAAAAATGACAAAGTTCAAATTCTACATTTAGACCTTACAGTTGTAGCATGTTTAATAGGAAGATCCACTCCATTTCTCTTTTACCATCTGTCACATGGCAGATGGCTTCAAATTCTAGGAGACTGGCATCAGAGCCATGCATTTCTGCAAAATGTGCCGATACTAAGTGTTTTAAATATCTTCTAGTGATGTTGTGCGTGTGTTCACGTATTCTGGTGGTAATTTCTCTGGTGGTTCTATAGAATGGCTCAGTTTGCACAAGCTGTGCAAACTATCCTAACAGGAACAGCTTGTCTCCAGCAGGAAGCGAGTGAGAGTGGCATGCAGGGTGCAGTATCTTTACCATCCATGTCTCACATAGCTACTTCTGTCTGTTTAACCTCACCTCCTCATTATTCTGGGGATCCCTCTTTATATAGAGTTTTTTTAATCAAGTGGTAGTACATTTTGAGATGGCTCCCAATTCATTCCCTAATGTTAGGTCAAAAATAACATTAATTATGGACCTATTAAATGGCAATCGCATGGATGAACCCCCTGTTGGAAAACAATGATGACCATGACCAATTACGAAGAGTTTCTTAGGGCTTTCAAGAAAGTATTTAATCCTCCAGGTAGAAAGAGAATTGCCACAAGGGCTTTATTCAAAATAAAACAGGCTTCCAGATCAGTGGGAGAATACGCCACCAAATTTTGTACTCTAGCTTATGAAGTAACCTAGAATAATAGTGCCCTGACCTCTGCTTTCTCCGTGGCCCTTACAAGAGGAAGTGGCTGCTAAGGATATTCCTGAAACCCTTGAGGATATAATACAATTCATGTCAGACATTCAGTGGCATCTCTGGGGGGTGTGCCAGAGGGGGCCATGGCCCCCCCTAGGTCAGGCTGTGCCCCCCAATTTAAATCAAAGTTATATGGAATGGCCAGGCTGAGCTAGCCAGCGCTGCTGTTTTTATAATCAGGGAACTTCTGTAAGCTGCGAGCGAGCTGCGAGGTGGGAGTCTCACCTCTTTGTCAGAACTTCCCTGATTATTTTAGTTTCCGGAATTCCAGCAGCTCAGCTGTTCGCTCACAGGAACCACCGTGTGGTGCAGACCTCAGGAGACCATAGAGACGGAGAGTGAGCGAGGGAGGGAGCGGAGCGGGATTGCGGTGCGCGGCGTGGGGCCACACCTAAGAAGCTGCAGCAGAGCGTAAGCAGCAGAGAGCAGAGAGCAAAGCAAGATTGAGAAGAAGACACTGCACTGACAGTCAGAGCAAGCAAAGTGTAGCAGAGTGATCACTGAAGAGCAAAGCAAGAGCACTGAGGAGAAGAGCAAGAGTAGAAAAGAGCATAGCAAGTAAGGGGGGACCTGAACTTATAGGGGGGGCTGAGCAAGTAAGGTAGGGTGAGCAACTGAGTATATAAGGGGGTGAGCAAGTAAGGGAGGGCTGAGCAAATAAGAGGTGGTGAGCAACTGAGTGTATGAGGGGGGCTGAGTAACTAAGGGAGGGCTGAGCAAGTAAGGGGGGAGAGCATATAAGGGGGGCTGAGCAAGTAAGGCAGAGAGCAGAGCAAGTAAGGGGAGGTTGAGCAAATAAGGGGGGATGAGCAAGTAAAGGGGGCTGAGCAAATAATGATGGGGTGAGCAAGTAAGGGGGGGCTGAGCAAATAAGGGGAGTGAGCATGTAAGGGGGGGGCTGAGCAAGTAAGACAGAGCAGAGAGCAGAGCAAGTAAGGGGGAGCTGAGCAAGTAAGGTGGAGCAGAGAAAGCAGGCAGAGAGGAGCCTTATTTACCGGAGACTGTAGACAGTTTACAGTGCAGCCACACATAAGGTGTGAAACCTTACCAACCTGAGATTGCAGTTTGCTAAGGGACTGAGCAAGCGGAGCAGACACTTCAGACAGCGGCATTACTACTGTAAGTAACGTGAACTTTAATTGAAACTTTTGAGTAAATAATATGTATGTACCCAGGACTACCTATTGTGCGTATAACAACATGAAACAAGTCATTTTAGTTTTAGTTTGTGTTGGTTATGGATTCCCCAACTTTTATACAGGTCATAGGGAGGTCAGGGCACACGTTTAAAACAAACCCATTTACCTGGCACTATAGGCTCTTGGACACCCCTCCCTTGGAGCCCCCTCTCTTGGAACTGAAGGGGCTAAAACCCCTTCAGTCACTTAACTTAATCCAGCGCCAAGCTCCCTCGGTGCTGGTGACCTCTTCTCCCCTGCCGACATCAGATTCCGAGTGTAGCCGAATGATTTTCTATGTGGATCTTATTTGATGCTGGACTCCGTGAGGTCATCCAGTGTCAAATAAATACGATTTACTGTAAATAGCAGAAGCTGCCTCTAGTGGCTGTCAGGGAGACAGCCACTAGAGGCTGGATTAACCCTGCAGTTTAAACATAGCAGTTTGTGAAAACTGCTATGTTTTCAGCTGCAGTTTTAAAACCAGGGGGACCTGGCACCCAGACCATTTCATTGTCCTTTAAGTTCACTGAAGATGTTTTGGTGTGTAAATCATGCCCCTGCAGTTTAGGAGTTAAAACACTTTGTCTTTTGCTGCTCTTGCCACATCCTTGCCGTGACACACATAGTCTCAATGAAAAAGATGTTTAATTTTTACAGTGTAGTTGTTTACTTTAAAGATTTCTAGCTCTTACTGGGGTGTTGCTTGGAGGCAAAAAGTCCAGGGGCTTTTATTATTAATTATTTCATAACCCAGGTATTTCTGATTTGAAACTGTTCACGTCAATAAAGAAAATGGCTACTGTGCACAATGTATGTTGCAAAGTTGCATTAGAATGCTATGACATGACAATGTAAAATTCATAACATGCAGCCTGCTATGACAATATAAAACGCATCTCTTCATATTATTAATTCATCCATGAAGAGATGAGTTTTATATTGTCATGGTAGACTGCATATAATGAATTTTACATTGTCATGGCAGTCTATTGCAGCTTGTGCAGCAGCCATTTACTTTGTTGGGATAATGGAATAGTAGCCATTTTCTTTATTGGTGTGAACAGTTCCAAACCAGAAATATCTGGGTTAATGAATAATGACAGGCTAAAACTGACAGGTTCAATGACAGGTTTTTATAATAATGACATCCATTTTTAACTCTCCAAGTCATTCAGTCACATTAACATTGTCCCCCACCCACATCAACTGTTGAAGTGAGGGTGGACTGAAATGGCTGGGGTGAATAATGCTAGTGTGACTGAATGAATTGGAGAGTTAAAAAATGGATGATGAGCATTATTAAAAAACAAAACAGTGGAGATGAGATTTAGGTTTTGAAAATGTCCATCATCATCATCATCATCATCATCCATTTTTAAACACTTCAAGTCATTTATTCAGATTACTATGTTCCCCCCATGAAGACCACACTACGATAATTGATGTGGGGAATGCAAATGAGACTGAGAGACTTTGCCAGTGCTATCTATGTCCCCAAACAGCTTGCCGGTGTGGCGGTGCCTCTCTGTCCCCGAACAGCAGGCAGGTTATGCATGAGGAGCAAATATAAAGCCCTATGTCCTTTTTATGTGTTTACAGGATATGAACAGTGTATTTTTCAATTCTGTTTAAAATACAATTTTCCTATTCAGAAATAATAATGGTGAAGTGTGCAGGTGCAAGTCCTGTCTGAGCAGTATGGGTGCAGGAGCAAGTCCAATTTATGCAATAATGTGGGTGCTAAAGAAGAGAATGAAAACAAGAAATATTTTTTTTCCAATAAATTTTTTTATTCCATGTGAAAGGTTCATATATAGAAGGCGTATGAGGGATTTAAGGCCTATATAACCCAGTAAACCCCTTGCTTACCTGTCTTCGTCGATTCCGGTAATTTGCCTTCGCTTCCGGTTCACGCAGACCTCTGACGTCATTTTGCCGCAACGCGCCTAAACGACGGTCAGGAACTTCCACGCGAAGATTTGTGAGTATTGTACACGAATGGTACCCAGTTGACAGTTTCTACTCAACTGTAAGTCCTCAATACGAACATAGGCTCATTCGTCTAAACCTCCTTTCGTGCAATTACCATCCGGCTAAGATAACGTTTGTAAAAAATCAACTTCAATAGGCGGGAAACGTTCGGTTAAATCCATTTCGGCAATCTAATTCTAATACCAGCTCTATTCGTATGGGTCATTCGTTTAAATAAACTGTACTATCTTTGACTAAATCTTTTTCATATTAAATAACTACAGTTGACATATACCACTCCTCAAGTTACAAGCACATTGCATTCATTTACAATACATGTGAAATTCTGATATAGCCATGGTACGCCTGTTTTACAAGCTAAGGAAATATTGAGTTATAGAACATGAAGATCACATAAAAACATTTAGATTCTTTGTTTCTTTTAACAAACCATTTCAATTGTTTAAATGTATTGGTAAAGACTATATATTTTCTTAAAGGGCAAATCTAATAATTTATGCAGTATTAATATGAAGTGTGGCTCAAACATGTTTTTTTTTTCTCTCTGCATTTTTAACCTGTATATCTGCTCTCAAGTGGTTGCGAACATATTAAGGCATGGGGTTTACCTGGTGAAATTATTCTCCTTTCATTTCTAGGGATAAAAACTGGTGGAATACTTTGCTTTCATATTACGCTGAGTTACACAAGTACGGTTCGGTTAGTAATAATCCCTTTCATTTAAGATTTTCTCCCCTTCTTCCTTTCTTTCTTCACTCCTCTAAACTAATAAACATAGTTAAACAGCAGGTTATAAGTATTCAGAACTAAAGCCAAGTTACCAAATCGTATTAATAGGCACAATTAGTCACAAACTTTATACATAAATTAAAAAAAAAAAACTAATCAAACCACTATCTATTTTTGTTGTTTCTCTTCTCTGTCTCTCCCCCTCCTCCTGTGTCCATTCTCCGCAAATTGGGTGCATCAGCCTGAGTAAAGCCGCCCGGTTAATACAGACAAATAGCGCCTTAAGTCATTTCAAGTACTCATAACAAGTTCACGTACAAGTAAGGATAACTAGCATTTCAAGCAATACGTTCAGTCTCGCATTTTATCGTCTCTTACAGTTTAGACGTAGCTGGCTGTCAGGGTATTAGGAGCCCAATACCGGTAGTCTCCTCCTGGCTTCTTCGCCTTAGGTTAGAGGTCCTGCGAGGCCAACACCCATCCTCAATTCAGAGGTACTACGTCCCTCGGGTCAAATCAGAATTAGCCGCCTCGCATGTGGTATAGAGAGGGCTTCACCTGTCACCCCCATTCTATCTTATGCTTACTACTCACCAAGAGGCAAACACCCCGCCACAACATTCGGCGGCCACGAAATCCCCTCGTGCCAAATCATAGGTAGAGCCTCTCAAGCTGCTTGGCAACTAGCAGGGCCTCACCAGTCACCAAACTAGTGTAATTGCTTCGCCATAGAGTGGCACTAGCTAGACAGCCAGCACACATAAAAAAAAAAAAAAATTCCCTAACCTTAACGTTTCCTCTCACGCCATAGTATGTCTAACTCTTCAGTACGAGACGACGAGCTATCACTTGCCAGCACCCCATCCAGGTCTAGCGCTCAGCCAAGACAATCCAGTACGACATCCAGCTACAGATCCTGGACTGTTCCAAAAATCACAGCAGAACTGAATAGAAGAAACATTCCCTTTCCAGCTACAGCCAGGAAAGCTGAACTTTTGTGTTTACTAAACACCCAAAACGCTGAGGAAACACCGGGCCCTAGTTCTGAGTGTACAATACAAAACAGTTTGGCAGAACTACGGAGTATGATGATATTTTCGGCCAGATCAGCCGCGTCACTGGCTCAGTACAACACTCCTACTGACTAGAGTCAATTGGACACAGAATTATTCTGTAGACATTTCGCAGGGCTTAAAACACCAGCATGTGCAATATGTTCTTCAGCCTCTGATTCTGCAAATTTTTGTCCCAGTAATATAGATGGTCCTTCTACCAGTAACACCAATCCAGACTATCTTAATAACACAACTCAGAGGGAAGTGCAAGACAAGTTAGGGAGGCCTATAGTGTTTCTTGGCAAAGCACAAGTTTGCAATAACTTCAATGTGGGGGGGGGGGTGTAGTTATAGAGCTTGTAGACTGCTCCACATTTGCTCAATCTGTTTTAGAGCACACGCAAAATCTATGTGTCCAAACAAACTGTTCCCTAAGAAAGCAATGACCCCAATAAACATACCTAATTTACAACATTACTTGACTGAACATCCTTCTTCACAACTGGTTGACTTTCTCATCTCTGGTTTCACTAGAGGCTTTCATACAGCATACTAGAATGCCCTAACCTACAGTCTGCGATAACAGATCCAGCCAGTCTAAAAGATCTGCTCAACAAAGAAGTAGAATACGGTTTCATGATAGGACCCTTCACCATACCATTATTAACTTCCTGGAGAACAAACCCTCTAGGTATAGCCACAGGCAAATGTAATAACAAAAAGAGGCTAATAATCGATTTCTCAGCACCTCACTCTTCCACCTCCCCAAGTTTGAATTCCCTTATACCTTCAGAAGACTTCTCAATACAATATGCAAAAATAGACGATGCCATACAAACAGTTGTCAGTTTTGGTAAGGCAGCCTGGTTAAGTAAAATGGATATCTCAAATGCTTTCAAACTTCTACCAATTAAGCAATCACTCTGGCATCTACATGGCGTTAAGTGGGAAGAGAAATACTATTTTGTGACTAGGCTGACCTTCGGCTCCAAAAGCAGCCCCAAAATTTTCGACATATTCGCAGAAACCTTGAATTGGCTACTGCTCAACAAATCCAGGTGCCCCGTAATAATCCACTACCTCAATGATTTTCTTTACGTTGAACCTCACCACTACACACCACACAGTCTGGAAAATGCACTCTCCCTATTTAAAGAATTAGGAGTCCCGGTAGCACCAAATAAGACAGAAGGTCCCAGTACAGAAATAACTTTCCGAGGTATCACACTCACTTCAATAACTATGCAAGCTAGCCTTCCTCAAGTCAAAGTAGACAGGAACCTAACTCACATCCACACCTGCACCAATCACGGGTCCTGCACCAGGAAAGAATTACAGTCACTTCTGGGTTCTCTTAACTTCGCCATGGGAATTATTCCTCAAGGCAAAGCTTTCATCTCTAGGTTACTTTCTCTTCTACACAGCCTCCCTGACGACGACACTATGATTAATCTAGATGATCCAGCAAGGGCTGAACTAATAATGTGGAGTCTATTTTTATCTTCATGGAATGGTAGATCACTCTTCATTCCCCCATATCTGACGAATCCCCGGTTATCTGGACAGATGCTGCAGCTACCACCGGGTATGCTGCGATATTCGGGGACGAGTGGGTCTATGACAGCTTTGCCACCCGAAACAGCTACCCTAGAAAGTTTTGACAAAACCTCAGCAATATTCAAGATCTTCCCAATAGTGGCAGCAGCACACATTTGGGGAAAAAATTGGAGGGGTAAAGCAGTTAGGTGTTTTTCTGACAACATGGCAGCTTGTAACATAATTAACAAGGGCCACTCTCAGTCCCTGTCAATTATGAATCTAGTTAGGAAACTTACATGGTTGGCAGCAAACTTGCAGTTTTACATTTATTGTATTCATGTTCCAGGCATTTTCAATAACGCAGCTGACACTTTGTCACGTTTTAATTTACAGGAATTTTTCAGACTGCACCCTACAGCGAACAAGCAACCCAAAACTCCTCCTCAATTCAAAGACCTAATCATGCATTAAACCAGTTATTAGCTCCCAGTAGAATTCTCGCACAGGCAGGGTTGTCAGTAAACACCAAAAAAGCATACGATAGGGCATTTGACATGTACAAAAAATTTGTTCGTGACTTTAACATAATAAATAATTTTTCTGTAGAAACCATGGTTGCGTTTACAACTTTTAACTATACAATACCCAGTGGTGTATCCTGGTTTTGTGCTGCCCTAGGCAGGACAAAACTCAGGCGCCCTCCTGCCCCTGCACCACCCCCACCCAACCCTTCCCCCCGCCCCACCTTCTAAATACACACACACAGTCAGACACAAACACACAGTCAGACACACACACACACACACACAAACACATACACAAACACAGTCAGACACAAACACACACACACATACACAAACAGACAAACACACACACAGAGTCAGACACAAACACACACACTCACAAACACAGTCAGATACAAACACACACACACTCACAAACACAGTCAGACACACACAGAGTCAGACACAAACACACACACAGTCAGACACATACACAGACACAAACACAGTCAGACAAACACACACACAGTCAGACACACAGTCAGACACAAACACACACACACTCACAAACACAGTCAGATACACACAGAGTCAGACACAAACACACACACAGTCAGACACATACACAGACACATACACAGACACACTCACAAACACAGTCAGACACAAACACACACACACATACACAAACACAGTCAGACACACACAGAGTCAGACACATACACAGTCAGACAAACACACACACAGTCACACACACAGTCAGACACAAACACACATTAACTTTTTTTTTAATTTAAATCCCTCCCCAACCTCCTTACCTTTGGGAGTGCTGGGGGGGGGGGGTCTCTCTCCCTGGTGGTCCAGTGGCTGCAGGGCGGGCGGCGCTGGCAGGCGGGCGGCTGGCGAGGGAGCACTTCCTCTGAGCTGTCTGCTCAGCTCCCTCGCACGCCGGCTGCAGAGTGAGGCTGGGAGCCGGAATATGACATCATCTTCCGGCTCCCAGTCTCACTTTGCGGTGCGCGAGGGAGCTGAGCTGACAGCTCAGAGGAAGTGCTCCCTCGCCAGCCGCCCGCCTGCCAGCGCCACCCGCCCGCCCGCTCGGGATGTCTGTTAGCCGCAAGGCTAACAAGGCATTTGCCCTGGGCATTTGGGGGGCGGCGTTTTTTGCCGCCCCCTGAAAAATGCCGCCCAAGGCAAATGCCTTGTTTGCCTCGCGGCTAATACGCCCCTGACAATACCATCAAACTATACTTGTTGAGGATACAACATTTCATGCTAACTCTTTATCCAAACAAGACTCCTTTCTTATCCACATACCCCATAAAAACCATACTAAAAGGTAGACAGCAACATCTTTAAAGATATCTCCAAGTTATTAGACAAAAGTCCTTTTGAACGTACCACTAACCTGGTAATTAAATCAGCAGCTTATTTGGCCTTTTTTGGGTTTCTAAGAACCAAAGTAAATGATCATTACGTTCTATCGATCATCCGCACAAAAACAAACCAAGCAGGCCTCCCAGTAGAAATTTAGTATTTCCCTACCAGTTCCAAATGGTGCCCAGTTCAAGTACTAGATAACTTGTTAAAAAATCAGCATATTAGAAATCCCGAACTGCCTCTGTTATCCCTACAAGGAAAGCCACTTACTACTAAACAATTCATGCTATATATATATACGTTCTTTATTACTCAGACTCTGCCTCAATCCGAATTCCTTCTCAGGACACTCATTCTGTATTTGGGCCGCCACTGCTGTCTCAAGTAGTCAGGTTCAAACACATATCATAAAGAAAATGAGTCGCTGGAAATCTTCTGCATTCAACCGGTACATTCCAAACCCAGAGAAATAAATCAGACTCACCTTCTATAATATGTCTAAATAATGTTGTTATTGTGGTAATAAATAAACATGTTTACATACTTTTTGGCCCTCTTTTTTTACAGGCCTAACCTCTCGTCGGTTTCGGCACACCTCAACTGACTCTTGCTTATCAAAACTACACTCACTTTAAGTATACGCCCCTTTCATAATCCCGTACACAAATATATATATATATATATATATATATACACACACACACACACACACATTTTATAATGGCTCCCCTACTTTTGTCACTGGTCCCCCTAAATATGAATGCTGGAGACACCACTGCAGACATTGATATAAGGGTTAGGCAAAAACACCTTAACCTAGATAGCCAAAGAAGGGCTCTGGTAAGACTTGTTCCTCTTCCTTCTATTACTGAATTACCTGATTTACCTGAATCAATGTAGTTAGGCACTACTAAACTTTCTGAAGTAGAAAAAAACTCCACACAGGTTTCTTCTATTTGTAACCCTTTCTTGGGGTACTGTTTGTCACCAAACTATGGTAAGCATACTGCATAAAGAAAAGATAACATTCCAACTTATTTCTTCTCCATCCTGCTCTCTGGTACCTGGTTTTCCTTGGTGGCAGAAAAAAAACCTTACACTTGATTGGAGAGAAAGGCAGGTGTTATCCTGGAGTCCTTCGCGTTGTCATATATGTATTGTCAGGATTCTAGTTGATACAGCACGCAGAAATGTGTCACACCTAGGACTAAGAGTAACGTCTAACTGGACCTTAGAAAGGCCAGACTTAACGCACCAAAGAATAGTCAATATACTAGCTGAGGTCAGGGACACAGAATGGGATACAGCGATAAGGGAAAGCCAATAATCAAGGATACCAGAAGTCAGGGAAGTCAAAACGATGCCAAAGTCAATAACCAGAAACACACGATGAGGAATGCACTCTCAAATAACCATCTAGGGGAAACCACCACAGGGCAATGAGGAAAAGAAAAAATGAGTTTAAATAAGCCTCCTTCAGATCCGATTGGCTGTAAACGGCCTTTGACCCGAAAATGTGCATGCTCATTCTTTGCATGACGTCACATGCACTATGATGTCGTCAATACCATGGGCTATAAAATGGCTTGGATCCAAAGCGGCCGTCATCCATCAACGTGCCACCGAAGTCAGATACACCGGCGCAGGGTTACTGAGTGGCACTTCCGTTAGTGCCAGGAAGGCAGTTACCATCACAGACACCACGAGGTGAGGATGAACATGTGACATTATCCCCTACCTGAAGACCGCCCACAGGGCGGGCCAGACCAGGTTTGAGAGGAAACTTGGCATGGAAATAGCAAATCTTGCGACCAGCATGAATATCGGAAGCCGGAACCCAAGAACGTTTGCCAGGCCAATAACCTCTCCAATCAACCAAATACTGTAGGGAACCACGAGAAAACCTGGAATCATACTCCTCCTCTCCAGAAACAACCAATGGAGGAGGGGGAACACTTGGGACAGTATACCTATTGCAAATAAGTGGTTTGAGCAAGGAAATATGACATGTATTAGGAATACGTAAGGAGGCAGGAAGTGCCAGAGAATAGGAAACAGGATTAATTCTCTGAATGATATGAAATGGACCAAGGAATCTAGGGGGCAAACTTCATGCTAGGAACTTTTAGTTTGACGTTGCACAATGATAACCACACCCTCTCACCCACTTGATAAACATGGTTGGCACCCCGCCGCTTATCAGCATGAAATTTGAAACGAGCAGCCGCAGTTTCAAGAGCAGAGTGAACTTTGGTCCAAGTTTTCATAAATAGAAGTGAGGTGATCATCCAGAGCAGGGATAGCTGTGTCAGAGAAAACAGCCAGTAGAACAGTAGGATGACGACCGTTATTAACAAAGAATGGACTATGTCAAGAAGAGTCATGGGTAGCATTGTTCGTGGCAAACACGGCCCAGTGCAGTAGTTCGGACCAGTTATCTTGTGTGCCATTAACAAAACAACGCAAATACAATTCCAATGATTGGTTAGCCCTCTCAGCCGTGCCATTGGTTTGGGCAAGGTAAGAAGAAGAAAATGACAATTCAATGTTGTCATTGAAAGCCCTCCAAAACCAAGACACAAACTGAGAATCTCTGTCAGACACAATATTTTGAGGAGTGCCATGTAGTCTGACAATTTCTTGTATAAAAATAAGAACCAGGTCTTGTGAAGATGGCAATTGTTTGAGCCGAACAGAATGAGCCATCTTGGAAAAGCAGTCAGTGGTGGTATAGCCATTAGAACTAGGGAGTCCCACGATGAAATCCATGGACATATGGGACAATGGAACACTAGGTACAGGAAGTTGATGTAATAATCCACATGGAAGTTTATGAGGAACCTTAGAAACTGCACATACTGAACAGGCCTGCACATATCCCTTGACATCTTTACTGAATTAATCCCACCAAAATGATCTCAAGATAGCCGATATGAATTTATTAATGCCTGGATGCCCAGCAGTCACGTTGTTGTGGAACACCCTCCTCATTACCTTCTCTATTTCATCAATGGAACAAACAATTTATCTAGAGGTTTATTGCAAGGTGCCTGGGACAGAGCCTCTATGATAGCACCAAGCAGAGGGGATGATAAGGAAAGAACAGTAGAAACAATGAATGGGACAATAGGGGGTGTCTCTTGTTCTTGTACTGATTCAATGTCAGATAAGGCGTCAGCTTTAACGTTTTTGGGACCAGGTCTGTAAGTTATAATAAAGTTAAAGCAAGATAAGAACAAAGACCATCTAGCCTGTCTAGAAGACAGCCGTTTAGCATCACCAATATATGCCAAATTTTTGTGGTCAGTAATGATCAAAAGGGGGTCTTTGGGAGGGGGGTGGCCAACCACAGAGCTTAATGAACGCACATTAATACCGCTCCCTGAGACCCGGGCTTCAATCCGCAACGTTCGTAGATTACTAACAAACATGGGCAACCACAAAAGACAAAATATGACACAGGGGCAAACAGCGAAGAAAAGGAGGAATGATCAGAGGTTCCAATCACCTCTTCAAAGACACAGACTAAACAGAGAATATGTAAATCTCCAAAATCTAGAATCCCCAGAATAAAGAGTGTCACAACAAGTTATACATCTTAGAACCACTGAACTCATCCATGGCGATACAGCCTGAGTGCAGAATAACAGATTACTTCCTTTTCACCGGTTCAGCAACAAAAACCCAGATAATATTTATGATAAAAGTATTCCTCTGCTGCACACCCCACCAAACTTACCTGATATGGGACTGCAGAAACATCTCGTCACAACCAGATCCTGATCGCGAGGGACAGCTGGATAAGACACCAACCGCAAGCAATCTCACCGACTCCAGAAAACGGTCACCCGACGCTGGGAAAAGAAAAAATAGCTGCACACGTTAAAAAATTGCATGCTCCACCTAAATGAACACCTTTACCTAAAACCAGCCACCCTCTGATGATGGTCCAACTAAATACACAAGGAGTCTTTGCAATGCCGATTTGCAATACCCCTCACATGATGGACGGTCTATATAAAAAACTAACTTTGGATTCTATATTGACCACTTAATACAGGAGACTAAGACAGACTAAACTTGCCAGTCATACCTTCTTCTCCATGTGTCACTCAGGATCAGGTTGTATCAATACCATTGTGATGTTTGTATCATTATGCCCACTATGTATACTTTACTATATTGTGACCTCATTATACTGTTCCTATCAATTCATCGAGATATTAGCACTCTGAGCTAAATTATATTTAAAAAAAATAATAATAATAATTCCCTTCCCTCTACTTTTCCCTCCCCCCGCCCCCATCTACTATCCAAGGTTGCTGAACAATTTTTCAAATCCTAATCTCCTAAAAGATAACCAATTCTAAAGGATTTCCTTGCCCAGGGTCCTATGCATGCTCACACTACCCCTTATTGACTAGGATTCTATATTTTGCGTCAAGATAGAATACCTCTACTCTCGATCTCGAGAGGGTCTCTTACTGAAGAGACACCATTCTCTTCCCACTTCCCAAACACCTGAATCTAATATTGGTACATCTCAGCTAAATATTTAGGATTCTTGCAGTGATTTGATAAGACGACAAGACCCCAATCTGCTATTCTTAGTTACAGATGCTCCCCTTCAACTATTTCAGAAATGAGGGACCACTAAAAACAACAAAATATCACTGTCTCCTATTCATTTTTGTTGTAAAAGTTTATGTTTTAACTGTTTCTTGACATGTTAGTAACTAATCTCGAACGTAGCTAAAAAGTATCAGCTAGTACACAACAGACAACAATACATTGGTGTAGGAAATACCACAACTCACGACTTAACCACCTCTGTCCCCATTATACCTTTACTACATCTATAGATAGGCCCCAAAATACGAACATACCTTTGGAATACATAGGTATACCACCAACCAATAACTCCCAGACCACCAACAATGGCTTCACTAATAATACTCACACAAAATGCAAGAGGTTTAAACACCCCAGAAAAAAGATCCATAGCGCTATCTGATTTCCACAGGAACAAAGCTGACATAGTCTTCATCCAGGAGACACATTTCCGCAAAGATATGGCTCCCAAACTGCACAATAGAGACTACCCACAAGGCTTCTATGGGCATTATTCAGAATCTAAATCAAGAGGGGTAGCGATATTAATTGGGAAACAGGCTCATTTCACACCCCAAGACCATCTAACGGACGACTCAGGTAGATTCGTGTTTGTAAAAGGGAAAATAGGCAACACACAATTGACTATGGCCAATCTCTATCTACCTAATAAAAAACAGAACCTATTCTTAAAAAAAACACTCCAAAAACTCTCTGATTTTCAGGAAGGAATCTTACTAGTGGGAGGGGACATCAACATCTCCTTAGACGGAGAACTAGACTCCACAGCTAAACTGAAACCACACAAGATTCAAATTAGGCAACAAGTTAACAACACATTGTACGAAGCCCAATTATACGATTGCTGGAGAGTAATGCACGCCACAGGCAAGGACTACTCCTTTTTCTCACCCCCAACAGGGACTTACTCTTGAATATACAGTCTGTTTCTCCAACATAGGTACTTACCCCTAGTTACTGCAGCCGCCTTTGGACCAATCACATGGTCAGACCATGCACCGATGTCACTGACACTAACAATTCCAACCCTACCGAACCCCTCGACACAATGGAAATTAAATGACTTAATAATAAACAATACAGACACCATAGCACGACTAAAAAATGCAGCCACCACGTACTTCAAAGAGAATAAACAACCGGACACCAACCCTTCCCTCATCTGGGAAGCACACAAAGCAGTTATGAGAGGGGAACTAATCCGCATTGCCTCCTCTTTAAAGCGCAAGAGGGAGCAAAGAATAGCCCAATTAACACGAGAACTAAACGTTTTAGAAAATAAACAACACACCCCTCACCTAGAAAACTATAAACTAATCTTAATGACAAGATTAGAACTCACAACTATATAACAACTACACGCTAAACGCAAACTGTCACTAACGAAACACGTCTACTACGCGAAAGGGTGGTAAGGCAGGAAAATTGCTAGCACACTCTCTAAGACAAGATAAACAATCCACTTTCATCTCAGAAATAAAACTAGGATCCGGGAAATTAACACAAAATATGCCAGATATTATCAAAGAATTTCACAAATTCTACACTAACCTATATAACATAAACAAAGCCCAGCCATCCAAAGAAGAGATCCACACATACCTAAATGCCAGAATTAAAAGAACCCTTCCATCTAACGAAACTGCCTTCCTTGACGAACCGATCTCATTAGAAGAATTTAAGAGCACGATCAAAACACTCCCAACAGGTAAAAGTCCAGGGCCGGACGGTTATACTGGAAAATACTATAAAATCCTAGCCCAAACACTAGCACACCCTTTCATCGAGGCATTTAACACACAAAAACTATCTCAGGCAATACCCAAATCAGCGCTAGAGACAGCAATCACTCTCATCCCAAAACCGGGTAAAGACCCTACAATGTGTGGAAGCTATAGACCAATCTCCCTCATAAATATCGACCTAACAATCTTGACAAAAATCATTGCAACCAGACTTAAAACCTTCCTACCAACCCTGATACATCAGGATCAGGCAGGGTTTGTTCCAGGTAGGGAAGCAAAACACAACACAATGAAAATAATAAACCTGATGCACTGGGCCCAAAAACACCAAATTCAGAGTACTTTATTAGCAATAGACGCCGAAAAGGCATTTGATAGGGTCAATTGGACATTACTCACACAAACGATGCGCTCTCTGGGCTTTGGGCCGTGATGGTTGGAATGGCTTGCAGCAATATATTCGCTGCCCATGGCTTGATTGCGCATCAACGATCAGCTTTCAAAACTGGTAACAATTACTAATGGCACAAGACAAGGATGCCCTCTCTCACCCCTGCTTTTTATACTGGTACTAGAACCATTACTTCAAGAAATAATAGACATATATTGTCTGTCTATTATTCCTTGAAGTAATGGTTCTAGTACCAGTATAAAAAGCAGGGGTGAGAGAGGGCATCCTTGTCTTGTGCCAAAATGGAATCTCTCCTGTAATTGGATGTCTAGGAATTTCGTGGTATAAATAGTACTGTAAGTCTCCATTTCTCTTATAATAGCTGGTATTGTGGAGAGCGGGTTGGATATAGTGAATAAGAGGTCATCTGCGAATGCCATGACCTTGTATTCATGTTTGTTAACTTGAAGACCTCTTATATATTGTCTAGAGGACACTCAGGTATAACCTACAACAAATACCATAAGGGTACAACACTGCTATTACAAGATATGACTATAGATAACAAACTAAAAACTCTACAACAAATACTACCCAATGAAATTCCCACAGGGAACCAACGACTACACTACATTCAGTTAATACACTTTATTAAAAACCAGGAACTAATACCTAAAGGAATTCGAACCCTAACAGTATTTGAACATCTATGCCTAAACCACCAGCACACAAAAAAGATCTTATCCACCATGTACAAGGTGATCAGAGACGCACAAGACTCAGAACTCCCCAAACGTACTTTAAAATGGGCAGAAGAATTACAACTAGAGTTCACACAACAACAATGGCAAGCTATATTCCAATCGATACACAAGTCAACTACCTCTACTGAAGCCCAAGAAAGTAACTACACCACACGCTGGCACTACACACCAGTAAAAATTCAGCAAATATACAATACAGAAAATAGCAAATGCTGGAAATTCCCACATCTGGTGGCTTTGACCGAATATAACAAAATTCTGGAGCAGAATACGCATACTAATTCAACTAATTATAGACATTAAATCACCATTTGAACCGCAACACTTTATCTTCCTAATACCGCCCCTGGGCTTATGTAGAGAACAAACTGTTCTATTCAAACACCTAGTCATGGCGGCCACACAACTAATTCCCAAATACTGGAAGCAGACACAAGCGTCATCTATTAGAGAGTGGATTCTCAGAGTAGAAGATATCAAACAAATGGAGGGGATGACTTATGCCAAATCCAAGAACTACCAATATTTCTCTAAAATCTGCGACCCTTGGACTCAATTCACAACAACGAGATCAAACTGACAACACTAGAGAGAGCTCCCCCCCTTCCCCTCACACACCAAAATGACAATCACAAAATCTGCATAACTCTGCAAACTAACAAAACTTTACCTGACCCCAATCACCTATTGGAACATCCAATAGAATCAATACAGGGGCTCACACAACCCATATCCCTACACAAGTGCTGTTAATATTATTATTGATCCATTAACTTGAGGTACAGCTGTATAATTAAAGTGAAACTTTATGAGCTATGTTTAATTACATGTCGAAATGAAACAAGATGTACTAATGCAATTGTCTTCCTGATGTTCAAACATTACTGTTCAAAATTTGTATGCATTTTTTGAAATTTCAAAATAAAAAAATGAAATAAAAAAAAAAAAAAAAAGGGTCACCATTCTTTAAGTGCTAGTATAATGGCCAACAATTCTTTGTTACCAATATCATAATTACGCTCTGCTGGAGATGACTTTCTAGAGAAGTACCCACATGGATGCAAAGGGGTATCCTGACTGTCCCTCTGAGAAAGAACAGCCCCCACCCCAGTTTTGGAGGCATCAACCTCCAGTATGAAGGTTTTGCTAGTGTCAGGATGTATAAAAAGGTCAGTAGAATCAAGAAAATTTTTAAGAAGTTCAAAAGCTTCTCTAGCTTCCTTGGACCATATAGTACAACTTATGGGTCATATGGGTGATGGGGGCTATCATAGAAGAGAACCCTTTGATGAATCTCCTGTAGTGATTAGCAAA